CTAGTTCTTTCGTTGCCGCGGTGTCCACTGTTGTCTCAGCTGGAACACTGGGTGCCCTAGCCTCCTCAGATGTGATCTGCGTTAGTGGCTCCACGACTGCAGACGCAACAGCATCTTCTAGTTCTTTCGTTGCCGCGGTGTCCACCGTTGACTCAGCTGGAACACTGGGTGCCCTAGCCTCCTCAGATGTGATCTGCGTTAGTGGCTCCACGGCTGCAGACGCAACAGCATCTTCTAGTTCTTTCATTGCCGCGGTGTCCACTGTTGTCTCAGCTGGAACACTGGGTGCCCTAGCCTCCTCAGCTGTGATCTGCGTTAGTGGCTCCACGGCTGCAGACGCAACACTACCTTCCAGTGGTTTCGGCGCCGCGGTGTCCACTGTTGTCTCAGCTGGAACACTTGGTGCCCTAGCCTCCTCAGATGTGATCTGCGTTAGTGGCTCCACGGCTGCAGACGGAACAGCATCTTCTAGTTCTTTCGTTGCCGCGGTGTCCACTGTTGTCTCAGCTGGAACACTTGGTGCCCTAGCCTCCTCAGATGTGATCTGCGTTAGTGGCTCCTCGGCTGCAGACGCAACAGCATCTTCTAGTTCTTTCGGTGCCGCGGTGTCCACCGTTGACTCAACTGGTAGAATTGGGTCTTCTGCCTCCTCAGCTATGATTTGCGTTAGTGGCTTAGCTTTACCAGACTTTGTGTCACTTTTCGTCTCAGGCTTTGTGGAATCGTGTAAATTGGTCGTATCTTGTCTACTGGGAAGAGAAAGTTTTTCTGTAATCTGTTTCTCGTGTTTTTCTTTAGTTGGATTTGTTTCAATATTTTTATTATTCAAATGAACTTCATTTTCTGACGTTGGTGTGACGGTCTCCTTGTATTGATATAATTTTTGTGCGTCTTTTAGATGTTCTGCGTCAGATAAAGCTTGTGTAGGTGTATTCAATTGGTAGTTGTTTTTCTTTTGGCCTAAGTTTTGTGACATCGGAGCGGCACTACTAATATTAGGAGCTTGAAGTATCGGTGTTGATATTGTGAAGGCAGGATTCGATCTCTTTCTGTCTGTAGTAGTTCCCTCTTTAGTTGATGACGTTTTATTGCTGTTATAATCTTGTTTTTCTTTTTCGGTTGGTTTTATATTTTCTAGAGGTTGCTTCTGTTTTTCTGCTTCCTGAAGATCAGAGAGTGTCCGGTTAATTGAGTCTAACTGGTTGCGAATGTACGCGTATGTACCTCTAGACGGCGTCAAGACACTATTATTCTTTGCTTGAGATCTCTGAACTGATTCACTTTTTTTATTATCTTTAGAACCCTCAACATTTTGTGGCAAAATAGTTCGGTTTGAGTAATCTTTTGGAGTTGAGTACTGTTGTTGTTGTTGTTTGCCTGGTAGTATTAATTTGTCTTTTTCGCTAGTAGTAGATACTGGAATACGTTTTTTCAATAAGGGAATCCTTATTGGTGTATGCCCCCTAAGGGAAGCAAAGGATTCCTTATCTAATGTTACCTCACCCTTAAAGGAAATTAGTTTATTATCATTTCTAGGTACCGAAGGTTCTGGTGTTTGTTTTCTGCTATGTTGCCGCTGAGAGTCCCATGTAGTTGAGTTAATGGAGGCAAGTTGACTTCGTTCTTGTATGCTTGATCTGTCAGGAGATGTTGAGACACGTACACGCCATGAACTCTGTGGGTCCAAGTCACGACATGCAGGAAGTTGGGCTTCCTCTGCTTCTAATTCTGGTTTATTCTGAATAAGTAAAGTTTCATACTTGTCTCCTATTGTATTACGCAATGATGTCGATGAGGATATTGTACTTAACATCGGTTGCGGTGTGCATAGTATACTTGGATACCCAGATGGTTGTCGGTGTACCACACCATGGAGATCCACTACATTGGGGAAATTGTATGAAGCTATCATCTTTCTGATTTCACTATTACTTCGTGTTCCATCATGTACAACGTTCAGTCTTACTTCAGGTGTACCGGAGATAGAATGCTGAGCAGTGATATTACTACGTGGAATGTTCAAACAACAAGAGACATCTCGTTCAAACACACTGTACAAACGGTTTCGATGTTCACGGAGCAATGGACATAATGCGCTTCCATCTAAAACTACAGAAAGCGATGATTGTTCCACAACAGGTGGTAGAGTAAGATCTTTTTTAAGTTCATTTTTACTAGTTGTCGTAACCAATTGTGATGGTAAAGTGGTCTTACCAACTTCTATTTGCATACCAGTTCCAATTCTCTTTCTCACCATAAATTTGTGTCTCAGTTCCATCGCCTTTATGTTAATTCGATAGCTACCTTCATCTACGCATATATCGTTACGTTCCTTTTCTTCTTTTTGAACCAAATCTTTAGATTCAGCTTCGTTCGCTAATAATATTTCACGCCTTTTCCTCTCAATATCTTGTATCGTTTTAAACCGTCTTTGTTCTTGATTTGGTAACGGTAAATTGGCCTGACGAAAGAATCCACCACCTGGGGAGGAAAGTCCTCTTGAACTAACTGTGGAAACATCACTCTGTAATTTATCAGTGATCCCATTCAATAAACTAAGAACTGTTTCATTATTTTCACTGATCTCCTCTTTCTCTCTCATAGTGCTCATAATGCTACTAGTGTTCGGGTACACTTGAATATCATTCTCATCACTTCTAGAGTCCTTGGATTCCACTACAACATGAAAGGAATCCGTACAATTAACTGTATTCTGAGGGGTTAGTAAAGCATAGGTATCAAAATCCTTGTCTAGGTACGTAATATAAAGTACCTTAAAGCCTAACAAATGAGCATTACCTTGAATAGTACTAACAATGTTTTCAAAAGTGTGGGGTGCTTTCCCTCTTGGAGGCATAACCTTTGACTTACCCATACGAGTTCCATCTCTTGACAAGTATAATGCTGTCCAATAACCAAGTTCATTTGTGTGAGAAATATTACTATTATTGTAGAATGTATCAGAAACGTTGTGGTTAGTTCTAATAGTGTTAACAGTAAGAGGTTCATTAGTGTAACTGTTAACAATCGCTAGTGTCCTTGGTGATATCAAGGCTCTTGATAGTCCTCCAGGACCTTCATCAGGAGAGCTTTCTGGCCTAATACGTCTGCTTGGTGGTGGATTAGATAAACGGTAATTTGGAGTACGTATTAGCGAGGGGTTTGGTGTGCAAGGCTGCCGCTCTTTCGCAAGAAGAAATCCATCAGGAAATGGCGAGAGAGTTTCAGCATTGCGAGTAAAACGGCGTTTTCCATCTTTGCTAGCATAAGGAGACGATGCACCACTCCTTTTTTCGATGGACGGCATAGTGTTATTATTACTATTATTATTATTGTACATTGGAATTGGGTTTTGCCTGTTTTTTTTTTTTTTTTTTCTTCTCTGTTTGAGATTTTGCTGTTGATGTTGGTGAAACTTCTTCTTTTTAAGAAGAAATAACTTTTGCCTAATTTTTTTTTTTTTAAAAACTCTGGACTCTCAAGGAATATTAAAGAACTGCAAAATACTACTTTTTCTCAAGCGTATTTTACTTTCTTTACTTTCCTTCAGCTTCTTCTTTCTGTACCCCTACACTTTCCTCTTATACGTAATTATATGGGTATTCTTACCAACAGACTCAACAACAATAACAGTTCCACCGCTCAAACGACTTCTCTTTTTTATTTTTTTTTTTTGCTTTGTTTTTATTTTCGTTTATATCCTTCCTGCAACTTTCTCGCTTCTGTCACCTTCTCCTCTCTCGCGTTGTTTTTCCGTATTTTGCTCTCCCCAGAAACAAATAAAAACAAAAAAAAAATCCTTTCCTCTTTCAGCACGGTTCTGCTACTGCAAAATGCCCTTCTTGACCTTCAGATCCACTATTGCAATAGACGATGGTCCAATGAAATACACAGAGACAGGAAAGGATAGGAGAAGAACGAAGGGGAAAATAAAAGGAGCAAAAACGCAAAAAAAAAAAATAATAATAATGATTTCAATACCCACTTTTATACACAAACGCAAATCTGGTATTCCCTCCTCGTTCCCTTTAAAAACGGTAGCAATAAATCCAACACCCGGAGATTACCCGTTTCCTTGGTACCAATCAAAACGCACCTGAAGGCCTTTGATATGAAGAACAAGCTGTTATTATAACAACTATGTACGCTTATTTTTTTTTTTTTTTCCTTCGTGTAAATCTTCTAAAACTTTATCCTTTGTGTGCAACTGCAAAAGAACAAGATTAAGAAAATCCTATTGCCTGTGGTCGTTCTTCTACACAACAACAAGCAATCCAACACCAGTAAAAGTTTGATATGCGTTTCACCAAACACAAACACACACAAACAACAAAAAAAAAAATGCCGTGAGCAAAAAACGGTCCCTTTCCCAAACCTCGTACGTGAGTCCGAACAAGAAAACAATTAATAAAGAGAACCAGATAAATCCAGAAACGAAGAAAAAAAAAAAAAGACTTGAAGATAAAAGAAAAAAAAAAAAAAGAGCAAAAAAAAACTCTTTATTTTCGGTACTTCTAAACAATTTGTATAAACAACTTCCTAGCCCGTTAATACAAATAAAGGGTGTCTGTAAATGTGAAAACCCACGTATTAGTAACCAACCTTTCCTACCAATTTTAGCCCTTTCCTTAAAATTAATTTCTAAAGACACTCCTTCTTTCCTAAAAAAAAAAAAAAACAAAAAAAAAAAAAAAAAAAAAAAAAAAAAAAAAAAAAAAAAAAAAAAAAAAAAAAAAATACTTCAAAAAAACACACACAAAAAAAAACATATTTGACGAAAACCATTAAAAAAAAAACGGCTCTACCTTCAACAAAAAAGAAAAAATTCCAGAATAAATATTACATTCCAATAACAAAATGCAACCGAATACGAACACCATGAATTTGCCTAAACTATATATACACGCAAAAAAAAAACAACAACAAATCCTTCAAAACACGCAAATAAAAAAAAAGACAACATGAAGAAAAAACCACACAAACCCACAATCTCCATCCTACTACTACATGAACGAACATTACAAAACACCACAAATACAATAAAAAATACATTTAATCGGCGACTGAGAGCCCTCTTCGCGAGCGTTCAGTTGACGCAGTAGTGTCGCGGGACAGGGAGCGCTCCGCAAGAATGGTGTAGACGGCCTCACGCGGACCACCCCACTTCATCTCACCAGATGCTTCTCTTTCCGACACATTACCCACCTCATGTTGACTCTGCTCCTGGATGGAGGCCACAAC